AAGTAGAATATAAACACTGATGAAGAATATGCGTTATGTATCGAACAATTGCGTGGGGTCAGTGGGTGTGGTAGCCTAGGCTTGTGCGGCACATGGGGTGTGGTCATTTCATAGTAGGCGTTTGCACAGGTAAAAATTTGGCGTTTCTATGTAGTCGTGCAACAAATATTTCTCATAATACTGTACAAATTATAACTTTCAACGAGACAAAAGTCAGTCTTAAATTCGCATAGGAGTACACCGATGTATGTAGTTTTGTTCAGGAATTAAAATCTGAAAAAGATAGGCAAACCATAGCAGTCTGGTCTCAGACAGAAATGCTAGATTGCTGAAGACCAAAGTCTGATCAAGACAGGCAACATCGTTTTACCTTTGACTCCACTTTTATTTTTCAGAGCACCTCCTTCACGCTGCTATATTTTTGACACTTCTCAACTATAATTGCAGTTTAGCTTAATTACAGATTATTCGTTGTAAAAAGCCATTTAAATTATAACAGATTTTTTTTTTTTCAAGAAAAATTAAGTGGACGTGGGAAAAATGAGTTGAGTTAACAAATAAGTGTCAAGCAAAGCAATATATATATAAGGCGAATTTATCATTTCGGAGGTTAAAGTGAAGTCTAAAAAATATTGCGTATTAGAACTCAAATATTGAACATCGTGCATTTCCTTCTTACCATCTCCTTTTCTTCTCCAATTTAAATTCAAATATGCAGATACAGTGAACATTTGTAACGCCTTTATTTAAATCAAGTAATCAGGTATGGAGGTTTCCAAGTACAAGGCCGTCGTTAACTTCTTAAAGAAAACTTGCTGCTCTTTTTGTCCTGCATTTCAAAACCTTTTATAAATGCCTGGCAAAAGCAACTGTGGTAAAATAACCACTGATATACATATGCAATACAGTTAAAAATAATTTGATTGCTTTAGAGGAAAATATACTGTCATAAAATCTTGTTGTTCTGAAGTGTTGAAAAGCTTTCTAATAACTAGATGCCTCCTCCCAAAAAGTTTTCGAAAAATTTTCATTTTGTTGGTATAGTTTGTTAGCCACCTCAACTGACTTATGACTATCATGATAATATAACTGTTATGTACTAAATTTACATGACTTCTAGATGGAAAAAAAAATAAACTTAATTAAAGAGGTTCACTTAGTCGCTAAGAAATTTTCTGTTTATCACTTCACTATTACGTCTAAAATATCAAAAAATATCTGATATTTGACTGCTTTTATGATAAATAAAAGTCTGTTTTGTTGTTTTATAAGCACAGTTATTGCTCCCCTTTCTACAAATTCGCCTTAGAGAAATTATCAGAATGTTTTTGATAAAGTTTTTTACGATTAAATCTCGTTCCACCACTTTTCACACATTCTTTTTTTGATATCAGTTTTTAGTCACACATTTCACTAAATATACATCGCATAGTCTATGTATTTATTGTACTTGATATAAGATTACTGTAAGAAGTTTCATCAGTGTTGCCTATGCCATCAAAATCATTAGAACTACTCGCCGAGATGACATTCAAAAAGTGCATACTTTGGCGGTAACTTACGGTTGTTGCCGTTCGCTTCAACAGCTAATGAAAAATATTTCCGATACGAATTGCAGCTAACAAAATTCTTTCCTGTAGTCTTAATTCACTCAACCATTGGTGTGTACATCAAAACGACTTCTGAAATGACTAGCATTTTTCAATTACTACTATCTGATAATTGTGAAATATAAAAAATTTTGAGGTAAAAAGAAAAAAAATAACTTACCAGAGCAAGCGTAAAAATCGACAGCAACAAATAGAAGTTGCTTTCAAGTTCCACAGACTGTGCTATCGCCTTTAAAATAGACCATTACGACCACGCAAAGTGCATAAGAAATAAAATTTATTTCCTAGGACTATTCTTTCTTAATGAGCCTGGCTAAAACTAAAAGACCCTAATGCAAAAGTGAGGTATTCAGTTGTCATCATCTGAACAAATTATGACGGCTCCACTATGAGAAAAGCCGGTGTCGGAGCGCTGTCTGTTGCAACACTGGCTATATGTAGCTGGAAACTCTGCTTTCTGACTGGAGGAGGCGTCATCCTGTAGGTAAAGTTTCTGTAGTAAACCTTAGTGTTCATTTTAACACATTTTAAACGTTGTTCAAGCACGGTACCTAAACAGCCTTACTATAAACCGAAAAAAAAAAAAATTAACAAATTACTCTCATCAATCAGAGTAATTCCGAGCTGATTTTTTTTTTTTCAACTTGGATGATTAATTTTTCCTACTTCACGCCCCCACTTAAATATTATAAAAAACAATGTGACAGAACTTCTAAGGTAAGATGCAGTAACTATGAAGAAGTTCAGAAACAAAAACAATACAAAGCCTCATTAAAATTCAAATCAATGATTTATTTTTATTGTGCAGTAGTTGCCTTTAGCCACCTTAGTTTTGTATGTCTCATTATTTTTTTTATAAAAGAACATATTTGACACACCTGATATCAAAAAATTCTGCGAAAATAAGGTCAAGAAGCACGCATAACTGTTAAAAAATTGAAGAAATCGGCAATGAAGAAAAGTATAAAAAAGCTTTGTTAATCTATCCTCACGATAAGATACTGTACTAGTGAAAATAGAAGAAAAATGTACCGAAAAAAAACCATTTAAAAGAGTAACATTAACAACGTATGTACATCAGCGAATTAACTTACAACTTTTTAAATAGTTATCGCAACCTTGACTTAACAATTTAAAGAAATTGAATGCTGTCTTTTCTACAATTTCTACTCACTAAGAAATAAATAAGTAAAAATAAATTTCTGACTACTTATACTTTAACAGACTTCTATTTATTCAACATTACCAACAATTCTTAAACGCCAAGTTATCCAGCATCATCAGCCTATAAGCAGCTAGCGATTAAACAAACCATCTACAAAATTTTTCTTTTGTTTTTGTTAATATGACACTAATAATTGTTGAAAAGCAGTAAAAAAACAATAAATAGAACAAAAGAAAATAACAAGTCTCAAATTATCTCTTCCCGAAATAAGTGCAACAAGAATATAGAAATTATTTACAGTTTTCAACCGATTCGCAAAGAGCATAAAAGATTTCTTTTCTTATCGTGAAATGAAGAGACTAGAAGAGTAACGTGTACAGCATATCGTCTTTTTTTACTTACTTTTATAAAAATTTAAAAAATTTTTGTCAAGCAAATCAGCGTAAAGAAAACCGTACTTATTAGACATAGAATTCCACCGCAAAGCTAACTGGAAACTGCACCAGACGTCAATTATTTGCTCTAAACTCATGCAATGCGGTGCACTCTGGAAAAACTGAGCAGCTGTAGATTCAATTTAAAAAACTCGCAGAACAAAAAATACCCCAATTTAACTGTCCCATATGCAATAATGAATACATTTACTGACTCGGCATCTAAAAAAATTTATATTTTGGTTTTAATGTTAATCAACGCAAGATGAAGACTTCCAAATGAGGTGGCGACTTGTTAACACGTAACATACGAAAGATGTTTGTTAAATTTTAAATAACAGTTCTGTTTTAATTCTTTTAAAGCTTAAAAAGTGAACAGAAAATGCTCTGCAAGAATAAAACTTATATTGAACTCTGATGAAAAAACCGTAAAAAACACAAAAAATGATTTCCAGAACCAATTTTAAACGAGAAGGTAAATAGAGAAAAGTAGTTAAAAGTTTGTTTTCGAGAGGTTAGTCCATGCAGTGTAAAAAAAGGCTTGAAAATGCGCTTGTTCCTATAAAAACTGCTGTCAAAACTAGTGACTGGAGTGTAGAAGCATTTATCTAGCTTTCAAAGTGTAAATGTTTAAAGCTGTATGCAAGATCCTACACCTTACAATTCTTATGCTCTCAAACTCATAACTGTAGTAAGCTATATTGAATTAGAAAGCGGTTTTTAAAACTGTTGAAAATCAGCTTTGCAAAATGATTTTCTTGGCATTTAAGAAGCTTGAATCTTTCAAAACTATTCATCTACACTGGGCGCTTTAATAAGGAACAATTACTGACATAGAACATTAAAATCACAAGAAATTTACCTTAATAGTAAAAAGAAAAAACTCTTTGAATTGTCATTTTTAAACTTAACTAACTTCGGTAATCAATAAGAAAAGAAAATGAAAAATTAGTAATGATGAAAACAAATTAGCCAGCACTTTCACTGTCAGTTAACTTATAAACTAAGTACATTTCACCATTTTAACTCATATCAGCTACAAGGGATGTAGTATTTGGTAACACCTAAATGATCTAGTTTTTTATGAAAACGTTCTCTTTTTTAACAAACAGTTACCACTTTTTGATCTACAATTTCA